GACTTCTTCCCCTTGCGTTTATTTTAATTCTTCCCTCAAAAATTGAAAAGACGAAAATAAAGGGGAAAGAAGGGGAAATTCCTCGCTGGGGTGACAGAAGCAGTAGAGCTTGAGTGGGGAGGGAGGAAAGTGGGAGAAGCAACTCGGAAATCATTATCTGTTGGTTAAAACCTGCCTGGGGTAAAATTTCAACTCGATTTTATAGCCTTCTATTATGACGCAAAGAAAAATTTACGACCCTCGCTTGAAAAGAGGGCCGGGGCCTTTTCTCACCGGTTTAAGAATAGGCGGCAGATGCCGTGACAGCGACCATTGTTCCCGGTAGACACAGGCGACCGGGCAACCTCGGCCCGCGTGCGCCAGGCGCGTCCCCCAGCCGGGCCGGTTTTTTACAACTCCTGTTGTCTTGCAGCAGCCCGCGCGCACCCTCGCCCCTCACCCCTCGCCCCCTCGCACCCTAGCGCCTCGCACACCCTCACGTCCTCTGTCTCTGTCTCTCTCACATACGCGCGCGCGCACACACACTCACACACACACACACACACACACACACTCGGCCGCTCTCAGTAATTTTTCATAAGTGCAAAGCTTTGCTGAACCAAAGGTCACCATCCAAGCCACTAACAACTTCTCGCCGGCGCGCAGTTCCAAATCAGGAAGCAAAGGGAACTATTTGTCAGCACCCCTGACAGCTAAGTTCATTAAGGATTTAAATCTGATGAAATAAAAGTCGCCAAAATATTTACCTGCCGGCCGCGCTCCCGCGCCCGCCGGGGGCCGGGGTGGAGGGCTGGGGGTGCCGCGTGGCCCCCCTCGGCGGGTGATATTCTTGGGATCCCTGCACTTTCCAAGTCGGAGAGAGCCCTTTGCGTGGCAGATTAATGACGACTCCGTGTTTCTTAAGGGACGTGCTGAATTAATTATTTCGCCAATCACGTGGTCGGGACTTGTAGAAATCTATTCTTATCATCTTCCTCGCACTTTGAAAATTCTCCGGGTTATGAAAGGCCCTCCCCCGGCTGCCGGCGAGCCCGGGCCGCCCAGCCCGGCGCAGGGGGCAGGGAGGGCTCCCCAACATGGCGGGCGGCGGGAAGCGCAGTCTGCCGAGGGTCCCGATTTACTGTACTGTACTCAGCCGGCTCGGCTATGGACTCGCTTCCTCCTCATCCCTGCCGGTGATTCAATACACACACGGTATTGATGTATTGGTGGGCACAGGAGGAGCCATTAAGCAGAAGACGGGCAGAGGACAATCATAAAATGTGTCTGAATATTTAAACTTCTGTCTGCGCACTTATAAATACACATGTCCACGCGTCTGGGGCGAGCCCTTCCATATATTAAGGACACATGTCTGATTTTACGCATTCTGCTCATTTCCTGTCTCGACCAAGCCCCCCATCTATTTTGGAACTCCTGTCTTGGCCCCCTCTTCAAGGCGAGGCCAAAATCTGAAAAAGCCCTCGCGGTAAAAATAGTGAACGGTACTTTTTATAGTGGGGAGTGTTTACTGTTGTCTGAGGGGCGGAGGGGGCGCTGCGGAAGGAGGGGCAGGTGCTGGAGCCCTCGCTGGGGCTGAGCAGCCCCGGAAAAGTGAAGAAGCCCAAGATTGGAGGCCGGCGGGGTCAGGTCAGAGCAGCTACTTACTGGCCCAGAACCCAGCACTCTCTCCCAGAGTTTTTTGGGGAAGGTGGGCAGGAAGGGGTTCCTCCACTGCCACATCACAAAGACCTCCCCTCAGGGCTCCAAGACTGAAGGGTTGTCTGGGGCCCAGAAAGCCTAACTGGAGCCCCCTATTAACCGGGGCAATTACTTTTTCTTGAAAAAAAAAAAAAAAAAGCAAACCACCCTGCAGCCTGAATCCAACCCCAGGCTTCCCAATGCTCACAAAATATGGTGGCCAAATTGGGAGTGTGCTTATTTGGGGTAGGGGGTGATAATAGAATTGCTAAGCCTTACAGGGTTTAACCTTCACACCTTAGGCATCAAATAACTTGGTGCCTAATTTACTGCAGAAAATAAAAAAATAAATTGTTTATGTTGAGTGTTAGCTTTTAGAAGACTTAACGGAAGAATGCTTCTGTCAAGGCATAAAACAGGAGGGAGATTTTGCTACACCTTTTATTATTTTAAATATAGATCAATGAATTACATCAAAACTACAGGCAACAATTAGTATAAATAATACTTTAATCACTGGCAGCAAAACATTGGTCAATTCTATTAAAAAAGCATCTTGTGTGAACAGACACCATGGGGCTGACTGACAATGTCATCTCACAACAAAAGGCTGCGATGGACAAAGTGAGATGGGAGTCTGAGGAGCAGTGTCCTCAGCAAACATTTCACTCTCCCCCTCCCCCAGTCACAACCCCAACACAGGTTTGTTGTTGTTGTTGTTTGTTTTTAAACACCAAAACACACATTCTGGCTCATATTTAGGGGAACAAACTGGAAACAAATAATAGCAAATGGGCACTGGAGCCTTTCCACATGTAGCTTTCTCCAGAGCACGTTCCCAGATAGAAACCCATTTCCTTCCCTGCCCTTGGTGGTTGGGGGGCCCTGGCCCTTCCTTGGCCCACTCTGGTGGGCCCAAATGGATGCTGGGGTCCGAGTGGGACTTCAGGGTAAAGGGCTGCCCTCTGGGCCATCAAGGCTCCATTAACATATCAAAAGACAATCCCAGGAAGCTGAGAAGGAGAGCTGAGATTTATAAACAAAGAAGTTGTTTCTCTGATTAAGTTACTTTCCAAAGTAATGTGGCTATGTTTGAGAAGGAGCTTGGGTTTTCCTCATGAAAACATGCCTCTTGGCTTTCCTCTGGGCCAGGGATGATGTCAGTTAAGTAGTTGTATAGCATTTGGTTGGAAGCTGGGGTGAGTAACCTGGACTTCTGAGGAGGGGGTAAATCCATATAATAGTCTCTAAAATATATATGTAGTTGGATGTTATGAAAATATATACTTTTCCCCCTCCCAAGGAGTAGGTTCAATATACGCACACATTTAGGTTTTAAGAAAGAATCTTAGCAACTTTCCAACTTGCCTAAGGATAGCAGCTCTTTTCAAATTCTACTTCCAAAGACTGCTCTCCATGTTAGAGGGGAAAAAAGAAGAGAAGGGTAGTTAGAGTCCAAAAGGTTAAGGGTTTAGAGGTCAGTCTCCCGGCTGAAATACAGCTAATCGAATAGAAAATTTGTCCTCTGGATGAACCTGATTCTGTAATTTACCCAAACTTCAGTAAAATACCTTTTCAGCTTCTCAACGTGAGGGCGTCAGAAAAAAGACGTCTTGACTATGTATGAACTCTGTGCTTTTTGTCATAGAAACAATGATGTGAATAATGCAGGAATATCCATCTTTAATATCCCGACGTGGAGATATTCAAGTATTGCCATGTGCAAGTCTGAGAGCCAGGCTCACCCCAAGGAGGAACAAAGAGCTGTCCCCAGGGTCTAATACAAAAGACCAAGGCTTGGAAGATACTTTAGGAGAAGTGGAATTTCAGCCTAGTGACTCCAGTGAATACCTGCCCTCAGCTCTCAAGAGACACAGAACCAAAAAACACGCCTGCAAATAAAGGCTTTTTTCCCTTCCACTTAAATATATTTTGAGAATTACCACTGAAACCTTCTAAAGTATTCTGAAGCACTGAAAAAAATAACACCATTCTGGATATTAAAATTAAGTTTTAAGCTCATACCTACTCCCTCTCCTCTTTTGTCCCCTTTTAGCAGCTCCAACCAGGGGTTTCTTTTTGGGAGCCTGAGACTTTGGGGTTTAAACTTCCAAAGATTTGTTCATTTGAGTATATGAACTCTGGCCATTACCTTTGACTCTTTCCTCCTTATCCTCAAGGGTCAGCATTTTAGAAAAATGAACTTTGAACCTTTTCCAGGCAAGGCATAAGAAAAATGACTAAAGAACATCTCTCTTGTTGTTTGAGAGTGACTTTTTAAAAAATCACTATTCTCAAGGCAAAGAAGAAGGCTTGAAAACTTTTATACTTCTGCAATTTCTTCTTCTAATTAATGGGCTGAGAAAAACTTCTTTAGATTTGCTTTTGTAAAAATTAGAGCTTCAGGGGGGAAAACCCCCCTAAGACCAACTTTTACGGACTTCTAGATTCAGTTAAGTTTTTTTTTTTCTTTTTTAAAGCAAGACTTCCTCACCTTCCCACTTTCTCCCTACCATACAGCCCCTCCCCCACATAGGCCATATACCTATTCCTATAAAATACTGCTATATATTTGGGGCATTTGAAGTCTTATTGGAACAGAGAATTCAGTCATTATCTAACAACCCAGTACATAGAGTTTTGTTTTCTTTCCCCAGAAGGAAAATGTTGGACCATTTGTTTCTTTTTTCCCCTTTCCTTTAATCATCCAGAACTGGCTGTAAGCACAGTGCTGAAAAAAGCACATGTGGAAATACATTTTCAAGAACTCAACTGAGTGGATCTTTTGCTTCCCTCTAGAAGGGTTAAGGGCCCCCTACACACATTTCCAGGGAATGAGGAGGGGGTGGAGTTCAAAATCCTGGTTTATAGACAGAAGTAAGTATTCACATCTCTGATTCTGCTCCCTGAAGCTCAGTCCCTTTCATCGTTTAAGATTTTTGGCATGAAGGTGTCAGTCATTTCTGTATCCCATTTCCCAACAAATAAATACTTAAGCAAATAATATCTAAACATAAAATAATCCATTTCCACTTTCTTCCTAGACTTATTTCTTTGGACATAGGGCCACTGGGAGCAAAATATTTTTTTTTTCAATCATACAGGAAATTCTACAGGCAACCCAGAAAGTTCCAAAATCCTGGCCCAGCTCTCCTACATCCACTGAAATCACCTAGCATGGGGATGGCCAACCTTCTGCTTTAACTCCCCCACGTTATTAAACAAAGCTCCCTGGAGGGGTGGCATGGGGGAGAATGTCCAAATTCATACTGGGATAAAGCATTCAACCTTCATCTGCAAATTCAAAATCCAAGAGTAGAGATTTTTATGAGTTTAATGACTCGACAAGGTTTTATATTCTCAGTAGCTCCTGCCATATAATATACTTAGAGAGAGAATCCCGCCCCCCTCCCCTCCCCATCCCCATCCAGGGAGGGGGCTGCCCTCGGGCAGGATGCTAACCTAGTCCGAGGGCGGCCTGTGTGTCCCAGGTCCACCCCACAGTACCTTAGAGCCCAGCGAGGTGACAGCAGGCCCGGCCTGCCCCCGCGGCTTCGGCTCAGCCTGGAACGCAGGGAGGGATGGGCCCAGGGTCCCCGCTTCTATAAGGTCGTCAGGTCCGTGTGGTGGTCCTTGGCCATCGGCTGCAAATGCTGGCCCGGGGCAGCTGAGGAGGAGCAGGAGGAGGAGGAAGATGAAGAGGATGACCTGCCTTTGGTGTTGGGCAGCTTGTGGTCTTTTTTCCACTTCATCCTCCTGTTCTGGAACCAGATCTTGATCTGGCGCTCGGACAGACACAGGGTGTGAGCGATTTCAATCCGACGGCGCCGTGTCAGATACCTGTTAAAATGAAATTCTTTTTCCAGTTCTAGGACTTGCTGCCGGGTGTAGGCTGTCCGAGACCGCTTGGGCTCCCCACCGGTGTAGTTGGGGTTCACTGCGAGACAAAACACAGTACAGCCAGGTCAGCGCCCTGCCACTAGTTAGGCCCCTCGCCTTTGCGGCTCACTTCCTGGCCGGTCCTGAGGCCGCGGCCCTCCCCGCGTTCCTAAGCTCGCTTCCTCCCTCCCGCCCTCTCCTTGGCGCACACACTCTCTCCCACCCACCCAACCCCTCACACACACCCATTCTCCCAGGCTTGCAGCGTGGGATCTCCAAATGTGCTCCTTCTCTGGGGCCCACCACCAGCTCCGGAATCCCTAAGCATTTTGGAAATCCCCCTCTCTTCCACTGCGTTCCCTCTGCTCTGAAAATGGAGTCCTTCCCCACCCCACCCCCTTCCCACCCCTTTTTGCTCCCACAGCAGAGCAGCCAGCCACATGGTCCCGGCCTGCTCCCTCAGCTATAAAAATTTATGGAGAGAGTAATTGCGGCGCCCATGGAAGCTCCACATGCCCCCACCCACTCGCACTCTGCTCCGGGACACCCTGGCCAACCGGCTGGGGTGGGGATGGAGAGGTTGCTGGAGGCGCGCCTTACCCGAATTCACGTGCACCTTCTTCATCCAGGGATAGACCACGGCCGGCTGCTTGATTGCAGTCCCGGGGGGCGGCTGCTTGGGGCCGCCGGACTGGCCGCAGGCCCGGGCACCAGGCAGGGGCGCGGGTGGAGGCGCCGGGGGCGCCGGGCACGGCTCTCCCGGAGCGGCGTAGTGACCGCCAGGGCCGCTTGGCTCTTGCCCGTGACCCCGCGCAGACAGCGCCGAGCCGGGCCCGGGGCCGCCGCCTCCGAAAGGCTGCTCACCGAAGTCGGGCCGCGGGTAGAGCCCCGGGGGCTGGAAGTCTGCGCCCTGCGCGCCGCCACCGTAGTAGTCGGCGCCCTGCTCGCCTAGGTAGCTGCCCTGCAAATATTCCTCGCACGGAGGGAACTTGGGGTCCACATACTTGGAGTTCACCATATACGAACTCATGGCCATTAATTTCTGAAGGTAGAAAATACTAATTTTTCTCGTGTTGTCTTTTTTTCTCCTTCCATAGGGCCCTCCTACTTGCTGTCAACTGAATAAAGTTGGGTGGCCATGTGACCAGGCCAGCCAATAGCAAGGGAGCGAGTTTATCACCGGGTTGGTGAGCATCTCATAATTTTCACAAATTTAACTAAATAACATACGTGTAATCAAGTGACTCCCCATGGCACATTTGAGCCCCCACCAGATGTTAATATAGTTCCAATCCCTAGCACCCCCATTCCCCTCAGGTAATCCCAGCTTTTGTCTGCCACTGATTTTACTAACCTCACGTGCCCTCTCCACTAACCCCTGCGTGAAAGCAGCCCCCCTCCAAGTGGGCACAGTTCAAGGGAGAATGAATCCTTCCATTGTGGTGCAGGGCAATGAGAAAGGTGGGCAAGCAAGGTTGCCTCTGAGTTGGCCAGAGTGCCCCAGGCAGGCGGTGTCTTGTCCGCTCAGCCCGCTGGAGCTGAGGCTGCCATACAAAGGCCTCGGTCGGGGCTTTGTCTTCATCAGGGTCATCCAAAAGTTACCAGAATCTGGCCAACCTGAATCAAATTAGGCAATGAGTAACCGCCATGCTTTCTACCGGTGCCCAAACCACGGTGTTCTCAAGCCAAAGCTGGGCCCTGTTTATATGGCAAGAAGCCTCTGCTGCCCTGGTCCGTGCAGGTGAGGGGTGGGCTGGGATGGTGGTCAGGGTACCCCCACCTCACCTAAATGCACGACAAAGGTCCCCATTGGCCTTTTCCCAGCTTGCTCTCTTCCCACAGGCAGGCCCTAAATTCCAGCAAGCCCCAATTTGGGTACCTTTGCACGTCATGCCCCTCAAGGACACAGCTGGGGCTAAGGCTAGCTGGCCTTCCACCTCACTTCCTAGCACCCCAAAACCTAGTCCCTTGGCCCTGCCTTCATGCAACCAATTAGGGTTTCTTTTTGCAGCAGCCACAGAAGCCTCTGTTTAAAGGTGAGGAGGAGCTTCTGGAGAGGAAAAGGCTGCTCTGTGTCACCAGGCACAGTTGATCTTCCTGGCATCCAAGGTACTAAAACAGAAAGAGGTGGCTGAAAAGTGCCGGTGGCTTCTAGTCTCCACCTCGGTATCTGGCTATTTCGAAGCAATGTGAAGTTTTTGCATCGACCATATATTCCCCTAGAATCGAATCTGTGACTACGTGTATACCACACAAATTCGGTTCTACAGGGTATATATAGACAACGTTACAACCTTCGGGTCCCACCCAGAGCGGGTACCCAGGCTGCTGCCAGCCCCGGCCTCTTCCTCTGAGCCACCGCCAGCCCAACGCAGCCACCCACACTTTCAGAGACAGTTCAGGTAGCCTGACAGGCTTGGTGACAATTTGCAGCAATTGAGTTCTCTCATTCCTTTGCCAGGGACAGGGTTACCAAGCAGCCGAGCAACCAGAATGTTCTTCTTAAGAAAAAAGGAAAAAAGAAAAAATAATCCATCCCGGCAATGGCAGCTTTAGTACCCCCTTCCCCCTCTCCGGATCCAAATAAGACACCACCCCCATCAAGTGGTATTTTCCAGAAAGGAACAAATGCCCTCAGCGGCAGAAGAAAAAGGGGCAAGAGGGGAGTATTCTCTGTTCACTCCTTTTCCTATTGCCTGACCAAGCCAGATTGGCTGCCAAAGCTCCATCTCTAAGAAGACGCACGCTTACCTTCCTGGGCCCTGAGCCCGCGGGCATGTTCATCCCACTGCTGCTGCATACCCCGAGGCAGGCGCTGCGGCTCACAGGCACAGAGCTGCCTTGGGTTGAGGCTGGCGCGCTAATGGTGAAGGGCAGGGTGAGGGGTCATTCGAAATCATTTACAAACATATCACAAAGTTTCATTATTTTTACTTTGCCGACAGCAGCACACAAGAGTACAAAAGTTCACGAATTTCACCCGCCCCAGTGCCTCAGCCCTGTCCAAGGTTTGTCCTTCAGTTCAGGGCACCAAGTGCTCAGAGGCACTCAGAGCCGAGATGGATTTCAGGGGCAAAGGGATGCCCTGGTTCAAGTGGGGCTCTGGATGCCTGACCGTAAGCTGAAGGTGTTAAATTTTGGGGGGGTTGTTTTGATTCCCCTTCCCTCCCCACTCCGTAATTCAAAAATTAGTTTTAAGCCTCAGGCCTGGGCTTGGTGGGGTGGGGCAGACAGACTCTCCTCTAAGCTTGGTACTTTGCACGCTTCTCACATCCTTTGGTTCCACCACTTTAGTTATTCTGTAGGTATTTCCTGGGCGCCAAGTCTAACAAGGGCTCTGAGGCTGCTGAATCTGTTTGTCTCAGGAGAGTCACCTCAATTTCCCCTAATGCCAAGCATTCCCATGTATTTGCCTTCCTAGGGACACTGGGCCTAGGCTTTATCCTGACAAATTGGGGGAGCCTGCTGAGCCACGTGGGGACCTGGGTGAATGTACACATTTTCATATTTGTTAGACGCTGTGACCTGCATTTCACCTTATTGCTCGACTTGTTCAGACAGGTCAAAGCCAACGAGTTATTGATGAACAAAAGCGTTAAATATTCACCTCCCGCTCAACTGCCCATACTAATGCTTTTGATCTCTCTGGCTTTTTGTTCTGTGTTCAGCTACAGTGTGCTAAATGCGGGTTTGCAAGTGAGTAGCCTCCGCAGAGATAGGCACCTAAAAGCCAGGTCAGCCAAAGGAGGGTGACAAGACGAAGGGGTCTTGGGGAGACCAGAGCTTCCAGCTTGGAGCCCAGAGACGATTTCACTTGAGTCGGCCTGATTCATAGAAGCAAACGTGCTGGGCGGATCTCCTCTTCTGGGGGTGAGCACAGCCCCCAGGGGGTCAACTAGGCTGCTCAGCCTATGGGGCCAAAAAACCTGGCCAGGAGCCCAGCCCCAGCTATTCCAACCAGAAGATAGGGCGTCTCACAAGCCAGGGAGGGTGCCTGTTTCCTGCAGTCCTTGAATAGTACCTCTCCCATTAAAATAAAATCACCTCCGTTTTGCAGTGAGGGAAGGGCCACCTTTTTTTCCGTGACTCTCCTGCGAATATCATCATCTTAATGACGTGGTTCTCCTGGAGACTTCACAGGCCTCCTCCGAAATGCACCTGTCTTTCGTGGCACAGGCAACTCAGAAAGATCCAAATATCCCAGCTAAAGACCCCAAGAGTCTCTGCCCCCACCCAACCCCGCTATGTTTCCTAGCAGCACCAGTAACTCTGGAGCAGAAATTCTGGAACTGCAGTTACAGAGAAGCAGAGGTAATGAGAGAGAGTATCCCGCCTCGCTCAGCCGGTGTTCCAAACCCAGGGCCCACGCCGCCAGCGCTGCGTCCGGGGGAGGGGCGGTGAGAGGAATGTCCACGTAAAGTTCAGAATTAGCAGCCTTCCCCAGAAGGGGGCCAACTCAACACACCCGCGGCCATAGAGGATTAAGTTTTGTTTGTAGTAAATTATTTTTTAAAAACCGAAGGTTGGGCCAGGCTTGACCGGGATAAACTAGGCTGGACTGCGGAGGGGGATCGCATCGCCTTGGTGTTTGCTGCGTTGGTTCGAGCGGGAGGCGGATGCTGGCCGCAACTCGTTAATAGGGCAGGCTGCTAATTAGCTGCAAGCTCTTAACACAAGCGAGCGCTGTGGCGGAGCTGCACCTGTGCTGAGCCAGGGAAAGGCTGAAAAGATCCGGAGAGGCCCAGGGAGACAAGGGTGAGACCCTGCGGCCTGTTTCCTTAGGCAGGTGACTGTGAACTAGGCCCCAGAAAAGCTTTCCGGGAGCTCAGTTTATCACCTCCACCTCCCAAATCCAGTTCTTCTCGCTTGGCCAGGCCTGGGGAGGGAGGGCGTCCCTTCCACCCGCCTACTCCAGCCGCACAGCCCTTCGCCCACCACCTCCCCGGGATCAGCACTGCTTCTTCGCGATTCGGAAGAAACGGAAAGGTACTTACAGCGGCGCTCTCTCATGGTCCTGAACCTGTTGCAATAAAAACGGGGGTCACTTAAATTCCACAGGATAATAAAGTAGAAACAGATGACACAGAAAAATGACAAGGCCCAAACACCCCACCAATACCCAGACCTCCCTGCTTCAGGTGCCCGCCTCCGGGACTGCGCAAAGTTCTCCGCAGAGCCAGAGACCGCAATCCTCAAGGGCAGAGCCGCAGATTACAAGAGAGAGTTCTGTCCCTATCACCTCCCCCACTCCACGCACCCTTGGGTAAAACCTTACTGGTTGTTTGGCTCTACTCAGGCTGCCTGTAACGGTTTCCCCAGTGGGAAAACGGAAAGCGAGGAGAAAATGGGCCTTTGTGTGTTTCCTTTTGCGCAAACAGGCCGGGTAGGTGCAGGTCCACTGGGGAGGGTGTAGTTGGTCCATCTGTCCCCTCCCCAGTTCCCCTGTCTCTTCGGCCCTGGAGCAGTTCAGCCCCCTTTTCCAGTTTCAGGTTGGTTTAAAATTCCTCTGCCCCAAGGAATGCCCTCCTCCTCCCCAAACCTGTCTTATCCTCCCTAAAGAAGAATCAGGCATGGCTGGGACTCACCTTCCCACTTCTGCTCCAATTCAAAACAAAGAGCAATTTCCCGGGGTGAAATGAGGACCCAAATGATAACCAAGGAGGAGGAAAATCAGTGGGTTTAAAGGTAAATGGTAATGCTTTAGATTGTTATCCAGCTCTATGGGTATGACATCAATTTTTCAGCATTGCTGCTGGAGAGCCAACAAAACCAATCTCACAAAGCAGTGATCTTCCTAGGCGTTGGTGTCCAGCTTCAAGTTTTCTGTCTTTTCTAGTTTTATTCTAGGATAGAAATCTTCTCAGAAATCTCAGAGGCAAAGCCATCTGCACCCTCACCTTCTCTTTCCCCCCACCCAGACTAACACTATTTTATTCCACTTCTGAAGCAAATGCTTCATTACAGGGAGGAGAGAGACAGTAAGTCCCTCTTGTGAGATGGGAGCCCTCAATTTTTAACTGTGCATGTCCAGAGGGAGGGGGAGAAAAACTGAGATTCTCATTCTATTTGTTAATTTAGGTTTAGGCTAAAATTCGAATTAACTTCGATGGGACTTCTCCCCATACCAGGCAGAAAAGTCCAGACAGAGCAATTCCCCACCTCTGGAGTTGTTTCGGAGAAAGTAATAAGTGACTTACTGTTTTTCTTTCCTAGTGGGCAGGGGAGCTGAGAGAAGAACTGTCTCCTTAGCTGGGTGCTGGCTGGAGCCTCTCACTTTCCTATTGCTGCTCCAGGAACCAAGCATCTGCACTTGTATGCTCTTAACCTAATTTATGGTGGGAATTATATTTTGGCTTGTCAACTCTCAAGCCATAAAACAAAGTTTATTGGAATCACGTGCTTGTAAATAGCCACTCA